ATGTCAAAACCGAACAAGTAGAGGTATCTATGAAGTTGTTCTGCCTTAAAATTAACATGAACAGAAGATTAATTATGTAACAAGACCAATATCAATCCGCGATAACTGGATTCCATTAATACCACAGTTTGTTGGATGGAGGTATTTGAGGAAGAAAAATGGAGAGGAGATTGTACGGATTGCAATTCAGTTAGATACAAGTAAACTGAATGAGAACAACCAAGCCACTTGAAACCCAACAACTTGGCGAAGAAGAGAGAAAGAAGCTAGGACAGATTGTTGATTACTATCGCAAACCAATATAAAAACATTTATCCTTTGCAGATTCAAGCATTGGACTAAGAATTAAAGAAAGAAATCATTCACAAGCAATAAAGAACCTCAAGTGAAATAAGAAGAAACCTATTTGATTTTTCAAACTGATAAGAGGTTAGAATGGTTACCACAAGGAGTTTGCTCTACTTCAATGACAACCATAGGTTTTCACCAAGAACAAGAAGGTTTATCACCAAGCTATAAGGTTTATCCTTTCCTAACCCAAAATACATCATATATATATATATAGAGAGAGTGTGTGTGTCTAGGGAAATAACTTTGTTTTTTAAATGAGAATAGTCTAGGGAAATAACTTAAGCAAGGCCATCTGGTATATACAGATATAATGGGACTTAAAGTGAGCAACATAAAAGATCTGGCCAAGTTAGGCATGTGCGGTTGCACAACATATTTGTGCGGTCCAGTGAGTGCCCAACTACATACCCTGGTGCGTGTGGTTGACAGCAGGTTGTGTGATCGCACTTCCTCCTGAAATTGCAGATTGACGTTCATTTCTCCAAGAAAAGGACCTTTGGCCAACACTAGGAACATACAAAGGATTCCAATACCCTCGTCGACATGAGCCTTAGTATGAATGCCTTAGCTGAATCCCTATCAGAGATAAACATGAAAATGGTGCAATTAACATAGTCAACGCCTCATAAACTAAATGAATAAGAAATAGGAAACATATTTTTGGTAAGAAGAGTGTGAATGCTATGCCTTCAGATAACGAAATAGTAACCAAACTAAGCAAAACATGTTTTGTTTTCACTGTGTGCTGCTAGTAGTAAACAAAAGATGCGCAGGTCTTCTGCATCCCAAAGAACATTTGCACTCGCTATGGAAACGGAATAGAACCGGTTGCACTTTTTAAGCACCAATTTTAATATCATAACTACGCATAGCAACCAATTGTCATCCTTTCCTCACACTATTTCCATCAGATAGTACCTTTCATCACAAATGAACCTTATGATATTCCTTAGTCTCAAGTTTATCTGACCGTGCGAGAAACAATGGTCTAAAATATGCTTAGATTTAACCCTTCTACGACATGCCAAAGATACCAAGATAAAACCAATGGGCGATCAGCGATCCCAACCCTTTTTCTAAAAGAGCCTGTTTGAAAGCATTTTCACGAAGTAGATGCTTCATGTAATTCGGAAAGCAACATACAAATATCTACTTGAAAAGTAAACTCGAATTTATACAATCAGGCAATCCCAAAAGCAAGACAAGAATCTTCACTCTCAAAGTGAAGTTTCTTGACCTGATATATGATTAGGGAACAGAAAACTCATGAAAATTTCCATTATTAAATGAAGAGGTAAACCCCACCTTTGAAAGGGCAAAAGAAAAACTCAAGATAGCCCAAACAGACAGAAAGATGTCTTTATCACCAACAAACGCAACTTGCATGAGACAATCATGGTTTGTACATTACGAGTAAACTACCACCATAAATACCAGTACCCCCCGTCACGGCGAAATTCAAAACTCTTATGACTACTGGCTTCCTCTCAGTGCCCTCAAAAGCATCTGTTTTCTGGCTTCAGAATCTCCAAAGATGCTCATAATGTCAGGCATCTAAAAATATGCTCATACTTTCAGGCAGATTTGACCAGGCTTCAACATGATCGCGTGTATAAAACAGGTGACTACAACAGTTCTACTGAGGCATCATTTCCTACTGAGGAACAGGAAAGCAAGACTGAATCACATCAACAGTTCTACTGGTGCAGGCTTTTTTCTCAATATGAGAAGATATGAATATATAACCTTCACGGATCTCCGATCAGTCAGCACTTTAAGTACCAATGGCTTCAATAAAGAGTGCTCTTTGTTTCGAAATGCTTAATCAGATAATGGCAACACATCATCTAGTGTAAGAGTGACATTGTCCCGAGATAAAAAAACCAAAAAAAAAACACAACAACAACAACCACAACATACCCAGTATATTCCCACAAGTTGGGTTATGTATGCAGTCCTTACCCCTACCTCGTGAAGGTAGAGAGGCTGTTTCCGGAACACCCTCGGCTCAAAAAGAAAAAATCACAAACAGGAAAAAAAGCCATGGCAATGACAAAACAAATTAATTAGACTAGATAACAGCCAAAAGAAAGTTGCTTACCTATTTAGAAACTGATAATATCTGTTCATTGGACGCTTTTCATGCATGATCCATATAGAAGGGGTAGTTTATCCTTGTAAGGCAACACTACTTCTTTCATAAACGTCGATGGCGTCATGCAAGCAGCAGAGTACAACCCAAGACCGCTGTTGAGACGCTTGCCATGTAAAATTTTCAGGACCTTATATCTAGGAATCACTCTCTTCTCCAAACTATACATTAACAGCTTAGGACGAGATGCTAAATACTCTGACGTGCAGCCAACTTCCTTCATGAGAAAAGTTAATTGTTTACGGATTTTGGCCTCCGATAAGCAGAAACAAAAAGGTAATTTTCTTGCCATGGTATTGATATGCGCATCAGACCAACCAAAACTCCTATAAACATCAACCTTCTCTGCCAGAGTTGACTTACTAAAGGAACTAACGGCACTAATTCCATGGACAAACATAGCCGATTCACGAGGGATTCCAAAGTCCGTTTCTACTCTATGAACAACATCCTCAAGCCATTCAGTTTTCCGCATCATAGTTCTTGGGTGGTGCAATATAAACTTCCTAAGTTTCAAATCCGAAAACCCAATATTTTGCAGCAACAATACATTAGGTGCCATTATCTTGGGAGCATTAGAACTAAGTAACCAAGAAGTTTTTTTTATAACCTTAACAACATCTTCATCACTACCCAATAAAGTTCTAAGGTATTCAAGTGAAGGTCTAAGAAAAGTATCTACACCTCTATCAAAAATATGAATATTTGCATTTGCAAACTTAACTAAGTCAGATCCAGAAAAACCAATTTCTTGTAAAATCTCGAGTTTTGGTTTTAGGGTTTTGTCTACATTAGAGAAGAGTACTTTAGGGGACTTGGAGACAATGTTCTTAATTTGGGTATTATCGAAACCATTTTTTTCAAAGAAATTGATAACAAAATCTGGGTTTTTTGGGGGTTTCGAGCGGGTTACCTTGTTGCTTGTAGTGACTGCTTCTTCTCTTGAAAACCCGAGAGAATTAACAAGAAAGTCCACTAAGAAATGGGTTGATGTAGTAGTAATAGTAGTATTAGCATGGAGAAATCTGAAGGTGTAAATGGAGAAAATGTGTAGATTCTTGACTCCATAGACACGAATCCCAATTATTCGAGCTAACATAGTTTTTAAAAATAATAATAACTCAAGCAGCACAGTATATGTTGGAAAACAGAATCAAGCCAGAGTACGTAAAGCTCGATTCGAGACCAGGTATATACCAGCTTGTTTGGAGGGTTATTAGGTACTGTATTGTATCATATTATTACGTTAATTATATTTTTTTTCGTTATTTAAATTTTATTGTACCGTATGCAGTGGCGGATGTACCTGGTGGCAGAGGATTCGATTGAACCTGCTTTATCAAAAAATAATATGATGTATATGTATAAATTACGATTAAAGCTGCATAAATTTTGTATAAATAATTTATTTGAATCCACTTGACAATTACTATTTTACGACTAAAGTTATGTATTTCTAAGATTGAACCCGCTTGCACAAAATCCTGGTCCGCTACTGATTATATGATTAAATATCATTTTATATAACGATCAATTGGTGTGGTCACCTTGTTACCTTCTTTTTTTTCGCTCATTTTGCCCTTCTTTTTATTAAATAGTCATATTTTATCTTTTACTTTTTATATTTTGAATAGAGTTGAAAAATTACATGTTTTATTTATTACTCCTATTACTATGAGGTTTAAGTAATCATCCGAACTTTCTTATCTCTCACCATGAGGTAGGATGGAAATTGATTGTCTATTTTTTGGCGTCCAACTTCAGTTTTTTTTTTTTTAAAATAAAGAGAGATTTTAATTTAGGTAAATATAGTGCTCAAATTGAACTTTAACTAAAAACAATTCATAAACTAAAATCAAAACACTTAAGTATTGCTAATGCACACACTTTTTTCCTTCAAATTTTACATAAAATAACACATAAATCCATACATAAGATACATTGGCATTACTAATGTAAATTTTAATACCGGAAACCAAACAAATCTTAGTATTAGTGATATAAAAAATCATCACCGATAATCTTAGTAGCATGCATGCCCCTTCGTCTTCTTAGATTTTTATTACATTATGTGATTTTGTTCGCTTCAATTATTGTATTCCCCGTTGCTATTATTTGATATACTTATACTTTATTTCTCCATTCACTTTTCTCTTACTTCTTTCTTCCTTTCCTCTTATGTTTAGGTTGAGCGGAGTATTTATTGAAAATAGCGTCTCTAGCTGCATTAGGTAGGAGTAAGGTCTGCGTATAGACTACCTCCCGACCCCCACATGTTGTTGTTGTAGTAGTGATATAAAAAATCATATCAACAGTTTCAAAATTTAATGTCATAAACATTGGCGCTCTAACATTTTGCTATTTATTATTATTATTATTATTATTATTATTATTATTATTATTATTATTATTATTATTATTATTATTATTATTATTATTATTATTATTATTATTATACTATACAGTACTTCTTTTGAAAGAAAAAGAAAAGGGAAGTTTGAACCTTCTCAAACAATGCTAGTTCGAATATCTAAATTTCGACATATTGGCAACAACGCTTACCTCTTCAGTTCAGTGGGATTTTCTACAGATGAAGCAATTTCTACCACCACCAAGGTAACCCCTCTTGAAATCTTCGAAAATTTCCAATTTTTTTTGCAGAAAAAATTGTTTAAGCAATACCCATTTCGATAAATTTATGTATCTGGATATTTTTTTTGTCTCTTTTGCTGCTATGATTTTACATATCAAAGTGTTATCTTAGGCGCTTAGATTTTCTTACTTATATTTTATATTAAAATTCTACTATTTTTTTAGACAAGTGTTTTGTGGTGATGAAAAATGTGGTTATAGCTAGAGAGAAATGTGCTCAAATGCTTTTATCTTATGATACCAAAAGAATCAAACTTAGTATACTTATTTTCGCCAAAAGAGTGCTGAAAATATAGAGTGAGAAGGAGTTGAACAAGAAAAAGAAGCCCTATGTGTTGCAGAATCATAGTTTATACAGGAATTCCCCTGCCTTTCAAGGATAATGCACTTATTTGTATGAATAATCCATGAAAAGAGTGATTAAATTTTGTGTTAGTGACTTCCTTCGCTTTGTGCAGTTCGCCACATTTTTGTTTTGTTGACGAATGCACTTGTTTATTCATAGTGGTTGGAGCAATTGCTTTAAAGCTAGTCTTTACTTTGGCAGGAGCCCTTTTGACTGGTTAAGAAACTGAGAGGATGTGGTATAGTAGTACGTTTTTTGGTGCTAAAACAAATGGGGCGATTTACCAAACAAGTAGTTATAAGAATAAATTTGAGCAAATTAACTTACCATTCACTTAAAAAGAATCTGCAGAATCATGTAGATATATAAGCACTAGGTCCCAAAGCTACTTGTTACAGTAATCCTTTCAAAATGGAGAACATATGAGGGGCATCAAATATATTGTTATTTTCCTAGCTAGTAGCCATTTTACCAAGTTTAGTTTGAAAGAAGACCTTTTCTAACCCATCTTGATTAGGGTACTTGGCGTACCAATATGATGTTTAGTCATCTCCGTTTGCTGCTTTCTCTTTTGATAAATCACATATTATTTGTAGCTCGTGAGACCTTTCTGGTACTGAAGTTTGAGTACTCCCCTGTAATATGGTTCAAGAAGATACAAGTTTGTGCTCTACAAGTAAAAATGAAGTTGGAATGCATAACGTCTTGTTTCATGTTCTAAATCTGCATGTTTATTTTTATTATTATCATCATTTTCGTTTGTCAATGCAATGTTGTAATCTGATGAAACTATTCTTGCTTTAGTGTCTAAGTTAAAATCATTTTATGAATGGAATCAAATTTGGTGCTCAACACCCTTTGTGTCTGCTCCTTTTCAGAACCCTTTCTTGTCAGACTACCTCATCAAATCACTGGGATTCTCTAGAGAGGAAGCGAATTCTGCAACTGCCAAGTTAAACAGCATGAAACTCCCTAAGAATCCTGATTTGGTAATCAAATTCTTTCAAGAGATTTGTTTAGAACGGACAGACATCAAGAAGTTAGTTTCTATTACCCCACAGCTGCTTTTTTCTGATGTAAACAGGACTCTTAAACCCAAATTTCAGTGTCTAATAGAATTTGGGTTGTCTGGATCCGACCTAGTAAATCTCTTCAGATCGGACGTACGAGCTCTGTTTCGAGGAGTAGATTCTCATTTCAGGCCTAATTTGGAGTATCTTAGGAAACTATTTAGTAGTGAAGAATGTTTGGTTAAAGCTATAAAGAAATCACCTTGGTTACTTGCTCCAAATGGTCCAAAACAAATCAATCCCAAAATATTGTTGTTGCAAAGGTTTGGTTTTTCAAATCCCAAAATCGAGAAGCTTTTAGTTCAGAAACCACGGGTAGTTTTGCAAAAAACTGGGTGGCTGGAAGAGAAATTGCACAGAGTTGAAAAGGATTTACAGATTTCTCCAAAATCTGGAATGTTTTTCTATGGAGTTATTGCACTTGTTTCAGTTAGTAACTCAACAGTGAAAAGGAAAATGGGAATTTTCCGGAGTTGTGGATGGTGTGATCTGGATATAATGACTGTGTTCAGAAAGCAACCTCTCTGTTTGGTTATGTCGGAAGCTAAAATTCAGCGAGCATTGGACTTTTTCATGGGGGAACTCGGATACAAACCGGAACACTTGGTTTGTAATCCTGCGGTTCTAATGCTTAGCTTGGACAAGAGAGTGATTTCTAGAAATGATGTACTGAAAGTTTTAGAGGGGAAGAAGCTGAATCAGAAAGTATCTTTTTTGAGAGCTTTACGTCTATCTGAATGTATGTTTCGTTCAATATTCGTGCTTCCTTACAAGGATGAGGTACCTAATCTATATGAGTCATATATGACTTCCGTGAGACGTTAGAGACACGACGCTCAAATGAGGTGTAATTTTCATCTTTATGGTTCATATCATGTCTTTCTGTTCTCCTGTTTTCTATTGAATTTTGTTTTTTCAGTGTGACGACCCGGCCAGTCGTCTCATGAGTTACCGCTCCGTTTTTCTCATTTCTGCTTCTTTATGCTTTGTTATACGTGTTTTATGTGGTCGAGTTGATTGGTTTGCGTTTGGTGTGATTTTGGTAAGAAATGAGACACTTAGTCTCTTTTAAGAAGGCTTAAGTTGGAAAAGTCAACCGGATGTTGACTTATGAGTTAAAGGGCTCGGATGTGAGTTCCGATGGTTCGGTTAGCTTCGGGAGGTGATTTATGACTTAGGAGTGTGATCGGAATTGGTTTTGGAGGTCCGGGGTAGAATTAGGCTTGAATTGGCGAAGTTAGTATTTTGGCGATTTCCGGTTGGTAGGTGAGATTTTGATCCGGGGGTCGGAATGGAATTCCGAGAGTTGCAATAGCTTCGTTATGTCATTTGGGATGTGTGTGCAAAATTTCAAGTCATTCGGACGTGTTTTGGTTGGGTTTTTGATCGAAAACGTATTTCGGAAGATTTTAGAAAAATTAGGCTTGAATTCGATGTGATTTAGTAGATTTGGTGTTGTTTGAGGTGTTTTAATGATTGGAGCAAGTTTGAATAAGGTATTGGGTCATGTTTGTGTTTTTGGTTGAGGTCCCGGGGGCCTCGGGGTGATTTCGGATGGTTAACAGGAAGATTTGAACTTGAATGATTGCAGAAAGTGTGCTGCTTCTAGTGTTTTCGCACCTGCGGCTTGGGAACCGCAGGTGCGGTGCCGCACGTGCGAGGGGAAAAGCCGCAGATGCGAAGTTCGGGCCGGGGAGCAGTTTCCGCAGAAGCGGTCGAGGTGGCCGCATCTGCGAAGCCGCAGATGCGGAAGTCCAATCGCAGAAGCGACTTTTGGAATTTTAATGAGAAACCGCAGAAGCGGTTGGTTGGACCGCAAATGCGGTACCGCAGGTGCGGTAAAGGGGTCGCAGATGCGAAAACCCCTGGGCAGAATGTATATATGTCTCTTCTTCGCGATTTTTAAAGGGTTTAACCATTTTTAACTTCGGACTTAGAATTTTTGGGCGATTTTGAAGAGAGATTTCAAGGGAAAAGGATTTTGGACTTAAAACACACTTTTATGGTGGTATTTCATGAATTAGGACTGAAATTTAAGGAATTAATGGACTAAAAATGGAGGTTTAGGGCTTGAGTTTAAGAGGGCTTAAATTAAGGATTTGAGGGGTCAATTGAACTCCGATTCTGGTGTTTTTGATATGTAAACTCGTGGGGAGATAAGGAATCTAATGATGTGAAAATTTCTGAGTTTCGAGAAGTGGGCCCGGGGCTCTTGCTTTGCCAATTTCGGGACTTTTGATATTTTTCGATTGTTTTCGAGTGGGTATTGTTCCTTTAGCCTATTGTGACGTATTCGTTGTGGTTTTGGTCAGATTCGACGCGCGAGGAGGCCGATTTGAGAGGCAAGGGCATAGCGAGCTAGAGTTTTGGCCGGCTTGAGGTGAGTAATGATTGTAAATGATGTCCTGAGGGTTTGAAACCCCGGATTGCACAACGTAGTGCTATATTGAGGTGAGACACGCGCTTAATGGCGGGCGCGGGGTCGTTTACTATTGGGGATTGTGACTTGGTCCATCCCGATTGATGTTTTTACTGTGTATTTGACTGAGACTTAATTGTTATCATTATGAATTGGGCATATTGCCATATTTGGACTTCGTGCCGACTATTTGAATCCTTCGTGGACTTTTATCACTGTTTCCTCACTATTTTGACATACTACTTGAACTCAGTCCTATTGATTTGCAATGCTTTACAAACTCGGCCACTTTTACTTGAATTTGAGACTTAAATGATCTTTCAAATGTTGTTTGGGCTGAGCACTACTGTTTTACTAATACCCAAGGGGCTTGTGATGATTTCTGGACTGAGTGAGGCCGAGGGCCATACGTGAGGACATGCTGAGTGATATGAGATACTTTCTATGCCACGAGGTGGCTTGAGTGATGTGAGGCCGAGTGCCGAGTGATGTTGCCACGAGGTGACTTGATATAGCGCTTGGGCCGTAAGGGGCCCCTTCGGAGTCTGCACACCCACAATGAGCGTGAGTACCCATTATGATATGAGAGTGAGCCCGAGGGGTTGATACTGTTCTGAGTGATTGATACTGAGCCCGAGGGGCTGATACTGTACTGAGAGTGAGCCCGAGGGGCTGATACTGTTCTGAGCGATTGATACTGTGCTCGAGGGGTGGATTTCTACTTGTTATTTACCTGTTAAATTACCTGTTTTACTTGTTTTTAAAAAGGAATATCAATTGATTTCTTCACTAATTTACTGCTTTAAGTGATTTTACTACTTGATATAGAATTGCTTTGTGCCTTTACGTGTTTTCATACTTTCAGCCATTATTTATAATTATTACTCACTGAGTCGGAGTACTCACATTACTCCCTGCACCATGTGTGCAGATTTAGGCATCGCAGAGTTCGCTCTTGAGTGCTGATTCTCTCAATTCAGGCAGTGATTCAGAGACTACGAGGTAGCTGTTGGCGTTCGCAGCCCCGTGCCTCCCTTATCTTATCATTTTCATGTTTGTAGAACTATTGTATCAGATTTAGTGTTCAGTAGACTTGTATCCGGATTTTTTAGTTGCTCATGACTTGTGACACCCCGGTTTGGGCTGTGTCGGGATGGTTTCTACTGTTGTTATCGTTAATTCTGCAATTTATGGATATTATATCATGCTTTAGAACTATTTATGATATTTAACTGTTTAAAAGAGGTGTTTTGTTTGGTCTGGCCTTGTCTTCACGAGAGGTGTCATCACGACCGGGTTCGGGAATTGGGTCGTGACATTCAGGTTGTAGTCAGACTCACTAATCTGCTGGATTCTAATTTACTGAAATCAGCTATAGGATGGCGAAGGTGTTTGACATCAATAATGCCTGTTTGACTCAGGACAATTTGCAGAAAAGAGGCTACAGTTTGTGGAGTGTGCAATAGGTGTTACCTTTGTGAAGAAAGCAGGCACCAATGAATCATCTCGCCCTTCATTGCAGAGTATCTAGACAATGCTGGGATCTATTTGTCAGCATCTGCGGTATTTCTTGGGTGATGCCTAGATACGTCAGGAGTTTATTACAAGCTTGGCAATCTCAAAGAGTACCTAGAAGGCTGAAACAGACATGGAGAACCATTCCGCTGTACATTCTATGGACCTTATGGCTAGAAAGAAACAATGCTTGCTTGAAGGACATATGAATCATATTATTAGAATTAAGAATATACGTCTCCATAATCTGTACTTTTGGTGTAAATGTAGTCAGATTAGGACATCTGAATCAATATGGACTTTCTGGAGGTGTTAGGAGGGGAGAATAGCTTGCTGATGTTGTCACTTGGAATGTTTTTTGTATCATCTTGGTATCTTATAAATAAACTTTAACCCAAAAAGAAAGTTAGTGTCACTGACTGCAGTCAAGTATTTAAGTGGGAACAGAATAGAGGGGCGGGCTTTAACCCCCTCGAGTTACAAACTTGTGAGCAGAATTGGAGTTAGTACAGCACTCCAGCTAGCTTACAAGGGATTTCTTGATTATCAGAAAAAAGTTGTCATGTTCCCTAGACTATATATAGGATGATTTTGGCTTAGGAAGGAGACTTTGACGATTTGAGAGCTTATCGCTTGTTCTTGATGAACACCAAATGTTGCCATTGAAGTAGAGCAAACTCCTTGTAGTAACCATTCTAACCTGTATTAGTTTGATAAATATAGTAGTAGGTTTCTTCTTATTTCACTCGAGCCAAGGGTCTTTCGGAAACAGTCTTTCTGGCCTTCCGGGTAGGGGTAAGGTGTGGGTACATATTACCCTCACCAGACCCCACTTGTGGGATCCCACTGGGTGGTTGTTGTTGTTGATGGTTGTTGTGTCCGTAACTCCCAATTAACATGGATATTGTTGATCCTAAGTCATCATAATCTTCCCAAATATAACGGTATACAACTCACATCCTAACTCATCAAAACACTAGAAAGTCAGAAAGGTGTTGATAGGATCAGAAAGGTGACCACAGGTATGTTTGTAAAGTAAGTTACTTTTGACAGTTATATTCTTTGAATCATTAGAAGCACACTTCTAGCAGTAATAGCTCTTTTATTGATAGTATAAAACAGAAAATTTGTGTGAAGAAAAAATTGTTTACCATATTGGAGAATTTCATCATCATAACCTTGTATAAGGTTTCTTCTTTATTCAGCGCTGCTGCTGTCAGCCATCCTTTCAGTTTTGGTTCGGACTCTACTATCACTAATAGTTTGCAGGTAGAGAAATTCTCTAACAAGAAAATAGCAACCATAGCCTCATGTATACCATTGACCAATGTTACATCTAAGTATTTTACTCATTTGGGTGCATGCAAGTTGCCTATGCAGGATATTTCATAAGAAGTGTTTCAATTTAGAAAAGTGGACTAATACAATAATAAGTGTTGTCACTTTTTATATTTATCCTCAGTATTTTTTTTTTCTTATACATACTGTCATACACCGCATGCAACAAGGTGCATACGCCCGGAATGGAGGGCTTACTGGTAGGAGCATGTTTATCCCTTTATTGGTTTACCAAACACAAATTCAGAATAATTGGATAGTAAACTTTAGCTTAGTGTTTTAAAAAGCGTGAGCGAGAGGCGAGACATTTTATCTAACACGAGGCGAAGCGAAAGCCTAGATGCGCATAGCGTAAGCCCTATGGATATATAATTTTTAATATTTTATAAATAAATAAATAATATATAAATAAAAAATACATAAAAAATGTAAGAAATTCAAACAAATTATAAAATTAGTAAAAAAATGTATATATCTATTATAAACATGCTAATATGTGCATGAACCGCACAAAGGAGTTACTAATTTTTATTTGAAAAGTGAAAGACGTAAAAATGTGTTACATCTATAATTAACATGGCTGTGATAGAACACTTAGATGTATAAAAATAATATTCTAATTCCTAACAATTCAAAGAATAAAAATAATATAAAATTATTATTTAAAAATCTAAAACTAGATAACAAATTACAAATACTTATTATATAATACCAATAGCCACTTAGCCAGAATAGAGTAATCAAAATAACATCTAAACTAGAGTAATACCAACAAAAAAAATTAAATTCATAAATTTGTTTGAAAAGAATAAATTAAAAAGTGCAAAACAAAAAAAAAAACTTAAAGAAATGAAGCACAAAGGAAATGCAAGCGTGGATGTAGAGTAGAAATTAGAGAATAAAACTCGTTTGTGATTTGCACTGTGCAAACAAAGGTTTTAAGTATATTTGTTACTCAGTAATAAATGACCAGAGTAAAGATTATGAAATTGGGATGAACAAAGATAAAAAGAAAACTTTTAGGTTTTAGGATCTTAGTTTAAAATTTTGATATGAGTTAATTTTTGGATGTTTAAATTAAACAAAAAAGATTTATTAAGCAATTTTGGCTCAAATTTGAAAAAGTTCTCGAGGCTAACATCTCAAATGAGCCGAGAATGTTGGGGCATATGCCTAAGCGAACGCCCGAAAAATCAGGGCTTACCTCACTGATACTTAGCCCCGTCAGTATGCCTCAGTGAGTTTTGGATACGCCTTGCTTCAAGGCTCGCCCCGGAGCTCGCCCAGGAAACATCTTTTAAAGTACTGCTTTAGACAGTGGAGAGTTAAATCCAACAAAGAGTTTACCCTAACCTTTTTTGAACTAAACCACTAAAGGAGGAAAACAAATATTACATGTTCCTTCTTTTTTTTTCACAATTCAATGACACACGATATGTAAAACTGTTAAAATACTCTATGAGGTATAAGTAGATATAGTGCTGACTTATGAAGTAAAATTAGTACCGGAATAATTTATACCATGTAGGGAGCAGGGTAATTAGTGTTGGGTTTTTATGTATTTAATTAATATATTAAATACTTAAAAGAGGGTGAATGGAAAATGGAGGGAAATGAAATTTTTGAGTGAAATTTTAAGTTTTCCCTCTTGGTAAATAGACATTGTCCCATATTGGAAGAGGAGGGATTTTTATGGGTATATAAGCAATTGCTCTTCTTCTAGCTCTTAAAGAGTTGAGAAGAAGGCAAGCCTCGCACCGTCGTCGCTCGCTCGCTCGGCTTCAGCTTCGGCTTCGAAAACTTTGGCTTCGGATTCAATTTGGTCAAATAATTGATTGATTAACTTTTTGAACCAAATTTATTTGTTAATAGTAAAATATTAATAGAAATGTTATTAAATATTTGTTTTAATAACAAAATATTAATATTAAATCCAATCCATTTTTCTGTTTTGGTAACAGAAAATTAACTACCATCTTCAATTTTTTCTCTTTATTTTCCCTCTTTATTGTTGAGTAAATAACCATTTATGTAATGGCATTTATGTTGTGGCCGTTTTGCAGAAACAGCCATTCTGAAGAGTTGCACCTCTTCAAATTTCAGCCCAACTTTGGCTATATATACAACATTATTCTGCTCAGAATTTCACTACGATTTTATGAGTTTCTTCTCCTTCTTCTGCATACTTTTAGCATCAAACAAAGCAAAAGTAAGTGTGATTTGCTACCGAAATCTGTGTTTGCTGAAACACTGGGGTATGAAGTACCACTACACCAGTGTGTAATTCGTTTTATCCTGGGAGGAAATAATCCATAACCTTGGGTACTAGGAGGGGATTAAATTCCTTAAGGAAACACTGTGAATTCAGTGGGCTCGAATTGGTTTTCTGTCATTTCTATTTATGTTCATTTCCATTTATATTCATTTATATTTCCAGAATTATTATACAAATACAATATACTAACAAGCTTAAGGAATTTATTATATTTTCTATATTTGTACTTATTGTTTCTGGAGAGTAAAACCTTTGTGGTTTTTTACTCTATTGGAGATTAAAATCTACGTGATTTTAACGTTTGTGTCATTCTTTTACAGAAATGACTAATGGTAACGGAAACCAAGCTGTTCCGATGGTGACTGTCAATGCCTCAACGAGCCGAACAACACCGGCAGCATTGGCACCGGCAGAGAAACCCGGAAAATTTTCTGGGATTGATTTCAAGCGCTGGCAGCAAAAGATGTTCTTCTACTTGACTACTCTAAGTCTGCAGACGTTCATCAAAGAAGATGTTCCTGTGCTGTCCGGTGAAACTCGAAAAAATGAACGTTTTCTCGTGACTAAGGCGTGGAAGCATTCAAAATTTTTGTGCAAGAATTATATTCTAAGCGGGCTGGAGGATGCTTTGTATAACGTCTACAATGGCGTGGAACGTCAAAAGAACTGTGGACTGCGCTTGAAAATAAATACAAAACCGAAGATGTCGGGTTGAAGAAGTTCATTGCTGCAAAGTTTTTGGACTACAAAATGGTAGATAGCAAGCATATTATTACCCAAGTCCAGGAATTGCAAGTGATTATTTACGATCTCCTTGTTGAAGGTATAAATCAATTAATATTGATGTTGAAAGTAGTAATCTCAGTATTTTTACTAACAGAAGTTTCATTGAAGGTCTTGTTATCAATAAAGCATTCCAAGTAGCAGCAATGATTGCGAAGTTGCCTCCTTTGTGGAAGGACTTCAAAAACTATGAAACACAAACGCAAGGAGATATCCATTGAAGATCTCATTATTCGGTTGAGAATCGAAGAGGACAACAAAGCTGCTGAAAAGAGAGGCCGTGAGAACGCAACAATAATAGGAACAAATATTGTTGAAGAGAACAAAAAGAGGAAGAAGACTTCTGGACCGAAATACAACCCAAGCAAGAAGCGGTTCAGTGGAAATTGCTATAACTGTGAAAAAATCGAACACAAATCTACGGAGTGTCATGCTCCGAAGAAAGATAAGAAGAAGGGTCAAGCAAACATAGTTGAAAATCATGATGATGCTGATGACTTATGTGTCATGCTTTCCGAATGCAACTTAGTAGGCAATCTTAAAGAGTGGTGGATTGATTCTGGAGCCACTCGCCATGTTTGTGTTGTTAAAGAAGCTTTTGCTACTTATGCTCCTATTGGACCCGATTAGACAATTTCTATGGGAAATGCTGCAAAGTCCAAGATTGAAGGATATGGGAAGATATTTCTCAAAATGACTTCCGGCAAAGTGGTGACTTTGAACAACGTCTTTCATGTTCCTGAGACTAGGAAGAATTTAGTCTCTACTGGACTTCTTGTTAAGAATGGTTTTAAATGTGTTTTTGTTTCCGATAAGGTTGTAATAAGTAATAATGAAATGTTTGTAGGAAAAGGTTACCTTACTGAGGGCCTTTTCATGCTGAATGTAATAATAAAATTTCAGCTTCGTCTTACTTACTTGAGTCAAATGAATTATGGCATATACGTTTGGGTCATGTCAATTATAAAACCTTACGAAAAATGAATAATTTGGAAGTATTGCCTA